AAAGAAAGCGGAACGCTCTTCACAACACTGCTGATCAGACTGGAAGAATGGAAGACATATAAGCCTGGAGACGGCAGTCAGCTGTCCTAAGGCAAGCCATCTTACAAGCTAAATGGCCAACAGTGAAAAACGCTAAGCAGTCGGGTAAGTGTGGGTGTGGGGCTGTGTGTGCCTAGTGGACGCAAACTACACATGCATATTGAATGAAGGGCACTGCTAAATATTGAATGCTCTGACGTCATCTGCAGAAACGCAGTCTGTGACAGCATTTCAACAGAGTGAAAGCCATCGTCTTCTAAACCGAAGAAGAAGGGTAGCATCAACTACACTGAAACAGCATCTTTCCTCTCCAAACTCCACTACGCAGTACGCAATTCTGACACGAACAAACTTTTACCAAAACATTTTAAGATTGTCGTTTACAAGTCAAAACTTGGACGATTGTTGTGGCGGATAAAATCGTATGACCATCATATCCATTCAAATATTTTAATACAGCGACTCTGCATAAAGTATTGCAAGAAAGCCAGAGTTAGAAGAATTTTCACTATCTTGCTATATCTTTCAAATCCAATATTGCACTACACCTTTGTGTATGGGCCAGAAACATCAATGAAACAAATTAACCACGTTTATATTATTTTGAATTGCGTACTTAAACAATAAATGTTATTTCCGTAAATTTGGTGAAATTGTTTGTGTACGGACAATCTGTGGTGGATTGCAACATATATAAGCCCTGGCATATCCTTGGTAATTTCTCGAGTAAAATAACTGCAACAACACAGAGGAGACAGATGAGCTGTGTGGAGCACGTTTATTTCGAAGGGGCGTCTGACACGGAGCTTACTCATGGAAATATAATGTAGGCTTTGCTTAACAACGTAAAGATTATTGATTGGTAGCTGTCTGTGAAGTCCCTGTGTTCACGCCGCACTTGCTCTTTACGTGACAAGTACCATGGCCCCACCCTCAGGTCGTGAAGCTCTGAGCTTTCTTTATTCAACCATCGCAGCGTTGTACACTCCACAAAACTCAATTAGTCATTACTTCATCCGACACATAAGCCTTGAATCAAATATTGTGCTATACTTTGGATGCTCAGGGGATAATATAGGCCAAAAATTGATTTGGAGCCGTTATGCGGCATTCGCACTAAAAGTGGAATTCTTTGGCCAATACTATTTTGAGGGCTTGACTCATTCTTTCTCCTTATTGTTTGAGCAAATATGGGCTTGATTCTTGCCATTACCTATGTTTACAATGTCCCTGTTACATGCTTTCACAAATGCTTCATCTTGCTATTAGAATCCTACGAAGTGAGAAACTTAATGGCTGCAATAGATTTGGCCCTATAAGCCGCTGATTATTAACTCGGATTTGAATGAATAATAATTCATATGTTGTCGCTTTATGTGGTGATAGATCAACAAATAGAGATAGGGAATGGGATGTGGATGGAGGGATGAAGAGGAATCTTTGCTTTGCATTCACCGTCCGAAAACTAACATAGTGAGACCACGATGTAACCAGGATCGTTTTCGTTCTTTCCAATCTCAAGAAATTAAAAGACCCGATACATTTATTCAAACTATTCATGTTGGCCTAAACCCATAAATACACCACTGTACATTTTGAGTTATGTTCAATTTCTGTACCGCGATGTCCTTCCATTTAGCATTACCCAATGGTATGGCCTTGGTCTGGTAGCAGTATCTGTACAGTGCTTTGAGTTTCAATATTAATTGTAGATCCGAATTTGACCTGGGAGAAAAATTCTTTCCATTTCCCCACACATGGAGCAAAATCCGTTAACGACCTGACTCAACTACACTTGTGATACTTGTTCTATGAAGAGGAAGAATCTCGTTTGCTCTGCAAAATTATTGAAATAGAGCATTTCCAACCTTATTTGAAATATGCACTCTTATGTATTTTTTTGTAGTAACTGATGTGTGTGATTCCATTGCTTGGCGTTGATAGCAGTGTCTAATCAATGTGGATGTCAGTTTGAGAACAATCATCGAAAACATAAAATTTTACTTGGAAAAAATTGCGCTTTTGAAATAATAGAATTCTAATTGAACGCCACGTTTACAATTAGTTTCAATGTGTATACATTCATTGGGACACCCAGTATGAATGCCGCTTGAAGTTTCATTGGTTAGCACAACCGGTTAGCGTTTCATTGGCAACAATGTGCTCCTTCGAATTATCGATTTTCGATACAATTGTTTACCTATTATACCTATAATTACTTAATCATTTTAATTAATTTTCAGCTCTGATTAATAATTTACCAACCAAGTTGCAATTTATTGAATGAAATTTGGGGAAATATTTGCTTCAGGCGTTGTAATTTCTATGTTCCAACTTCAGAATTACTTAAAAAAACTCCAAGCGCCTATTTTAGAATTAAGTAATCTGTAGTTAAAATTTATCTCCTTCATACTTAAGTGTTGGTTTTTTTCATAGATTTTCGTTGATGGGAAAGCCATTAAAACTAATTAAAAGCAAAAGAGGGTGTTGTGAGCTGTAGTCCTCTTTTACGCAATTCTTAACTTGATTGTACAGCTCTTACTCTTAATTCAAAGTTATTAAGTGCCTGTGCCTTTTCAAAATATACAATGTCAGCGTCAAGTTATTTGTCTACAATTGTCTGTGCCTCGAATCGTCTCAATAAAATCGAACCAAAGCTGACATATTTAAGTCTAAGCATCGTTGGCGTTTCTTTTGAAGATTAATTTGATAAACAGAGTCGTTTGATGTGCAGTAAATCTCATAATCCTTCTCGCTTATCTTGAGTACTGGTATAGTAAGTTATAATAAAAGGCACTTGAATACTCATATTAGCTTACTTTTAGATGGAATAAAATTTATTTGTTTATATACAGAAATAGGTATTTAAATACCTGCTTCATAAATTTCACTGGTAAACTTTTTGAATATTTTTAGATTATAATGCGACTATGATCTCACCTTTCAAAATCTAGTGAATTTCAGATGGATGCCTAACGAATTGGATTACTAGCCCATAAATAGTCGGCGTTTTCTCTATTAGGCTAATTTATAGACCACCGTTGAATTGTCCATCCTTTAAATGTTAAACGTCGCATTAATTGTGCAAAGAGCAACCTTGAATTCAGAATAATCAATAGGTTGGTTGCAACCAATGGTGAGGCAGTCAATGGTTAGTTTTATTGGCAATTTCCGCTTTATAAACGCGGTGCTCCCGAAATATTGCCTCATTAAGCAAATACAACTGGTATTAAAATAAATGCTTTTATTTTTACGTTTTTCAAAGCTTTATTGGCAGCGACATTGAACCACTACTATTTGGCTCTCTAATGTGCGAAATTTGTTTATTTGGCATGGCTGATTATTCAATTCAAATTGAAATCGAAACATGATTTGGAGATTTCTTCTATAATTTACACTAAATATGTTGGGACTGACAACAACAGGAGACTCTACTAAAATTTTAATTTTTGTACGTAATACGAGAAATACACTGAGGAAAGACTTGATGATTTAAAAAAACCGCCGCTTGAGAAGATTCACTTCGACTTCGTAAGACTTAAGTAAAAGCGGTGAGAAATTCATAAATTGCAATGAAATTAAGAGATGAGCTTGAAGCATTCTACTGAACTGCCAAAAAACCGAATCGAGCACTTTCGTCACACCTGAGCCAAACTTATGAGCTTCATTTCTCACACATTTGATTAACAATTTATGAATAACAACACTCGCACATGAATAATCCCACCACTAAAGAAGTTATCACTGCAAACATGCTTAACCAGGCAGCCAATCAGTTGTCAAAAAACCTGTTCTAGAATAAGGCATATCGCTTTTTCATTTGAATTAGTGGTCTTCCCAAATATTTTTACTCAGAAAAATTGCATGTATTTACTTGACTTGCAATTGAAACAGAACTTAGAAGGGAGAAGAGCTATTGAGAAAAGTTTCCCTTTTAGGAATTTTTCAACTACATTAGTCGATTTTAAGTTTCCATTGATGTGCTCTGGACGCCCAAGTACTATATCACATTAAAGAGACGTTTAAAATGACCAAATATTATGACATTCATCGATTTTTCTAGCAGGCAGAGAAACACATTTTGGGACAGTCTAAAGTTCTTTGAAGGAAAAGTGAGGGAGGATCGATTATCTTTGTTGACCAGGATGGAAATGATGCAAGTGATCTGAACAGAAAACTTCCTTTGGATAATCCATTTATTAATTACCATTATTCATTAGTCTTGATAAACAATGAAGTCTTTCCGGTGTTAAACCACAGGCCTGCCACAAATATGGTCCTGAATTGCTAGGATCACCTCTTTCTGCCTACTCGTCTACAGGCATCCAAATACTTGTCTGAATTGTATACTTGCTACTGAATTTATTAATAAACAGACCATCTTCGTACTCCTCAACAAAGACTGGAAGTTAAAATTTATTAAGCATAAATTTCTAGTCGAGGTTAGGTCAGGCCACATTGTCATGTTTGCAGTGAGTTTATGTAAATAGTCAAGATTTGTAAGTTAAAATATGTGATGACCGCAATCATTAACAAATTAAGATACTGCTGCTGCATCAGTTCCCTGTTTCATCAAGTCGCTGCCAAAAATTATTTAAACATGTATTTACGCACATTTTTAAGATTGTTGAGAATGTAGACAAAGTTAAGGAAAATTTTACCCAACCCCCCCCCCCCCAAAAAAAAAAAACCAATTGATATGAAAAATATAATTCCCACTTCTTACAAATAAAAAAAATATTTCCAACAATATCTCAATAGCGTAAAGATAGTCAATCATGTCAACGTCGAACCGAAAAGGGCAAGTCATCAAATTCAATAATACAAAGCTATAGCAGGAGATCATACAAATGAATGAATATTTTTAATTCTCCAGGCAAACAAAATAAAATCAGTTTAATAAAGCAACACAAAATCACTCAAAATCTTAACCAACTGTAAGTTGGGGATCGTGGTGGTAATTAAAATTTTGAAGAATGGCAGGACATGTACATATCAGACATCTGTTTGTGAACTTTATCTGTAAGGCTGGCTACATCATCATTTGTCAGATCAGTAGTATAAATAGGGGGCAATACAAAAATATCACAAAAGCAACCTTTGGCTATTCTCTTTGAGACATCGAAACCTGTGTATGGACCGATCACAATAGGCTGAATTGGAACCTATAAGGCAGTAAACTAAACAAGGAGATAACGAACCTGAGCTTTCACGGCGAGATGAAAGGCACCTTTTTTGAAAGGGAGTAAACCAGACATTCCTTTTCCTCTTGTGCCTTCAGGAAAGATAATAACCGAAACCTATGTTTGAACAATTTAAAATAATTAAGACTTGCTCTCTCATCTCTGATGATGCTAGCTGTATTTGCTAACTTAAGCATGCTCTCCTTACGATTGGACCGATTAATGAGGATGCCTTTCATAAGCCAAACAAGTAAACCGAAAGATGCATACGTAGCTATTGACTGTTTAGCAACAAACGTAGAGCGTTTCGGCCAGACATAAAGAAGAGCTAAAAATTAATATAAGTATCTAAACTCACCCGGAATATCTAGAGCACTTTGATGGTTAACAACAAGTATCCTTGGGCCATCAGTGATTAGGTTTTCCGTTCCATGGACACGATGCCGTAAGCCGACAATCCAAGAAATCAAGCGCCACAGATTATATGTTTTACTAAATAAATTATAGAACATATAAAACTGCTTACTAACTGTTATTGTAACTTCTACCGGTAATAGAAAATATTAGGCAATAATATAGAGAGCCAAAAAATAACACCAAAACGAGAGAAATTTCTTTTACCCAAAACTGTACTTCTTGAAGTATTAATTCGATTACGATTGAAGGCATTTATGTTATAAGTCCCGTAAAATATTTATTTACAATAATCGAGCTACCAAGCGATAAACCAAATAAGAATAAATCCGGTGGCAATTACCTTATTTGAAGGTCAGAGCAGTTTGGAATACTTTAAATGATGCCAAATCTTGACGAAATAGGTCTAAATTTCAAGATATAAAATAGTCTGAATAAGAAAATACATAGAATCTAATTTTTTAAACTTTTGCGTAATTATTTTTAGTGGTTAATGCTTATGCTTGCAAAACCAGAAATAAATGTTTCAAAGTTCAGTAACATGCATCCAACTCATGTTTGCTTGGTTAACTGGACCCGCAAGCAAGTGAGAGAGAGAGCCCAACGGTGTGCTTTTTCCATTTGATAGCTTAAAAATCTATCAGTTATGGTTTTCAACTTCCTGATCGCATTTCGAAGTGTCAGGAATAAGTTGAATTTATCTAGGTCTTTGTAATTCAATAGGAATTAGATCTTCTATTCTTTTATCGTTATTAAATTTAAGTTTGCACAAAAAATTATATGATTTCAAGTGTTTCTGAAAGGAAAAGTGCCAAATAAATGCTTAAGTTGTTTATTTTTATATATCAGATTGTTCATTTATAGTGAACTTTCTACAGTTCACTACATTAGAAATTAATGATACTAACTTCGTATATTGACGCCTAACTCCTTTTAAGAAGAGATAAATCCCAGGCACAGCGGTCGAAAGTTTTTTTCGTAGTAAGGGGCAGTAATAGCTTTATTCTTCCCTTTCATTACCAGTTTCTTTTATCGGCCTTGAACCAATTATCAATATAGACTAAGATGCAATGAGTTACAATTGCGTTATAAATCACTTTTACAATCCATGGAAGTTAAAACTGTTATGGACATAATTGCTTTTCGTTCACATCATTTTGTGACAAAAAGAACTTTTTATTTTTTTATTGTAATCAATTTATGTAGACGACGAGAAAATAAGCTAAACCACCCATGGCGCAAGAATATTACATTAGATCTTCTGACCGGGAAGATTTATATGCAATACGATTCATTGAATGATGTCAGTCACATGCTATCGACCATGGTTCTGATTGATGATTGGCACTCTTTATGTTATCTAGAAGCATACATGAATGCACAGATTATCTTTCTGTAGAATTTTTCGTATTATAACCAATCCTAATCTTTTGGCCTTGGTTCAATCAGTTATCTATAACATTTAAAAATCATAAAACAACTCATTGGCCATAAATAAAGAGGAAGAGTTTATAATGTCTTGCATTGGAGTATTATAATTTTCAAACCTGAAGGGATTACAAAGTTAAAATCTCTCAGTAACTAATCATACTATAATAAAAATCCATGTAAACGACATTTTAGTCTCAAAATCAATTAAACGTTTGCTTTAGAAGAGGCAAGTTTGGGCAACAGTGACTGATTAATAATGAAGTCAAAACTTAGCTTTCGAGTGAATACAATGAATGAGTTTATATGAATTTGGAATTTAAAATTTATTTACCTGAAAGCTGAAAGTGAACAAACGAATCATTGCACGGTCATTTAATTCAACTTACCACCTTGATGGTATTGATCAAAGTTATTTGATATGATATAACTGAATAGTTCAAGCAAATATTATGCAGAAAAATTTAAGTTGAGCTTATCTGTAATTATATAGTTATCATTAAAAATGCGAAACTTCTTTTGGCTACGACAGAATTAAATAGGAAAATCACACGAATGATTTTTCCTAATATGGAGTGTGCGATAGACTAACCTCCGCTTAGTGCACCCTGGGCAACATATACTCAATCGGAAGTTGACTTCTGACTTCAAACTACCATCACCCCACTGTATATCATATTTGACTTATTCCACAGTACTCACCTCACATTTTTGTACCTTTGTATCTTTCTGTTTTACATTATTGAAGCACCCTTCTGTCCCCGCCCTCTTGACTCTTTTAACTTTGATCTTCCTTCCTCACTTTGAAGCCTGAAGTCAACTAAAGGGCTAATAATAAATGTCAAATGGCTGTCATTTAATATAAAAAAATTAATTTTTTTCTAGTATTTTGCTCACAAATTAATGCAATCCCTCGTTCGCCATCATGAATTATATTAGTCTGCTTTCAAACATGCTGGCAATGGTCACTACCTGGCAAATCCGATTGAAAAGGCTATGAACTTGGCATATGAAAAAATACGAGAGGCTTTTGTTTGAAGAATTAATAAATGGCATTTATTAGAAAGAATAAGCATTTTTCATAGTTATTATCACATAGAGAAGAATAATCAGATATTTTCGTTTAGCATAATGGTAGAAAATATTGAATCGTGAGCAAATTAATAAGCCGAAAAAATGCATTTCAAGACAGCATAGTAACGACCTGTCTATTTGTGGTATGGGGAGCTATTTATAACAATGATCACCTTCAAGTAATTTAACTAAACTATTTATTAATATTGCTCACTTTAGTAACTTGTGCAATTTGTGGTAAAAATATGATCTTTAAAATATAATAGCACAAAGACTTCATGTAGGCTAGATTTAATCATTTTAATCATTTTTGATTTCAACATGAACCTTTTTACAAATTAATTACTTATTTTCACCAATTAGCATGTAGTATAATTAACATATCACCACTAGCTAAAAAATATATATGCATATGCCATATTCTAATTTTATTTAGCTTGGTCTTATTAAAAATATTCACATGATGAATTTTATTACATAAATTCTAGTTTCCGCAAACATTGAAAGCACTGTACTGGCGACTTTCTATTAGCAATAATAAAGTAAATGTAAGTTCTGAAAGTTACTTAAAACCTAAAATACCGCGGATTTTTAATTAAGTTTAGTTGAGACTCATTTGAGAGCGACTTATAATTCTAACCTCTACTCGTTTTATCTCATCATTGTCTCGTGTCCCTTTTGAATCCGTTTCAGCACATTATTATTTGACCTTGATCATCGTAGCTAGAATGGAGGAATCAGAATTTGTAGTTGTTGATGATGAGCATAGAGCCTATAACGAACTTAAGGAAACTGTTCAGGCCTATGGAAATGCCAGAGGTACTTGCTATAATACTATTCAATTTTTTGTAGATACCCTTTTCAAGGGTGTTGCGCTGCTCAATGATACCCTAAATTTGACGATGGAGCTTGCATTAAAAAATGCTCTCCCAGATTTTGACTCGGATCCTGACGAGTTGAGAAATCGTGTTTTGGGATCGGTAATTCCTTAGCTTTTAAAGATCTTATTTTTTGAATCAGCTTGAAATATCTTCGGAAGCCGTTCTTCGTGACCACGTGAAGAGCCTTTGCTCAAAATTAGTTGCAGTGCAATCTCAATACGAAGAATTGGCTAAGCAATACGAGACTCTAAGAATGAGGAAGTCTGCCGAACAGCCGGTTTGTTATAATTCTTAAATATTTCTAAGCTCATTATGGGTTTAAATTTTATCAAGTCAACTTACACCGGCATTGTCCGAAAGTTCGCTTATCCGAATAAGCGCCCGAATATATATATATATATATATATATATATATATATATATATATATATATATATATATATATATCTTCATGAAATGTAATTTTACGTTTAACCGCCCTTAGTTGATTTTCGGAAATCTCCGATAATGCTAACCTATGGGTAACTAGCTTACAGAAATATCGTTTTCACATAAACTTAATTTTGCATTTCTCCAAACTCGTTATGAATTTTTTCGCACGACCAACTAGTCAACAATGTTAGGTCGTGACTCGTAGCCACGTCATAAACCAAAAACTTTCAAAGTTGCGCACTTTGGTGTAGTCTGAGTCAAACGTGATTAAGAGGGGTTGCACTAATTAATTTTTGTTGGCAAAGTATTGTGGTGATGGTGCGAACATCATTGCCATTTCGGCGTTTGAGGTTTTGGTTTGCATGAGGCAATGTTTGATCGATCCGATAATAACTGCCTGATTTTTCCTCTCCTTTTTTAGCCTCAAATCACCCGTTTAGCTGGTATTCTTAATGAAATTGAAGCCTGCCTACCGAACTCTAAGTAAGTTAGAGAATCTGCTCTTGTTTAACTCAAGAAAATATTTAAAGTTACTTGGACAGTATACCGAATTTAATTGTCTTTTGTTGAAAATTTGGATCACATAAACTTGGGTTTATCTCTTTTTTCGTTGATAAAAGGTTTTAAAGTAGTATTTACATTAAGCTTAATATTGATTTTATTCCAACTTTTATTTATTTAATTATAATATCGATGCGATTGTCCCATTAAGCCAAGTTTGAAACGAACTAACACGACAATTTAAGTCTAACTTAGTTAGTTTTGTGTCTCTGGTCTTTTCCATTTTTTGTTGTGTTTGATCATCGTTTTTATGGTCTTCAAGGGAAGGGAGTGGGGTGGGGTGGATATTGATCACATTCTGACGCATAAATAGTGTTTATCTCACCTATGCCTTAATAGTGCTGACCTAAAGATATTTATGCATATATATAAATTGCCTACATTCTCCATTGTTTATGCGCCATGCTCGTGATTGCATTAACTATTCAATGGTTTATTTTTAGATGTAGGAATGCTAGCTATCTTCATTTATAATGCAATCATTTGGGTCGATAAATGTGAACTGTGCATTGCTAATTGTGAAATTTGTCTTGGTAAATAAAAATAGCTGAAAAAACGAAAGAGGAATATAATGCATTTATGTTATTCACTTATAATAACTTATGGTTGGCCATGCTTCTTGATTGCTAGCACATGAGTTTGAGGGAATATTAACATGGGCATTAGATAGTAGCAATGACAATCCCTTTGAGATGAGAATAAAAACCGCCCATTAATGAACTGCCTGCGAAGAAAGCATGGACACAACCTTCGGTGTATCTACAGGGCAACCTTTTTGAATCACCTACTTCTGTTACTGGGGTTGTCAATTCGCTATTTTCTGATATACTGTTTCTTTCCTATCTTGTTGTGGTGAAATCCGGATAGTGGTAACTTTGGAAGAACCTTTCTTCAATACACAAGTGTCTCTTATCCTCTAACCTCCACTTGGTACAAGCTTTTTGCTTGAAGATAGTTGAAAGTATTGGTAAAGAGCAAATCAGACTATGCCTATTTCACGGTAGTAACAAGTACTATAGCAATTTGTATTCCATTAAAGCATATTTGGTAGCTTATTATGGGAGAATTCTGTCCTCTGAATCGTTAATGAAATGCCGAATAGTGTTTGTGTTGATTAAATCAGGGATCTGACTTAAGATTATGAAATTGCCTCACTTCTTTATTTTACGCCAATACTAATGATTAATTTTTACCATATTTAATCTTATCTATGCGTTAAAATGACACGTTTTTTAGCCGATTGATCTTCAGCGAGACTTTTTTGGCTTTCCTGAGAAGATTGAGTAAAATGTATGAATAATTCATGTCAGGCGCCTCCTCTAGATACGCTAGTCCCTTACGTCGCGCCTATTTAGTATCATATTGATTACCTCACGTGGGCGTTTATGCGCCATGCGCCCATTCCTATTGGTCTGCTTCAGCGTTGCGCCTTTCATACTTTGCCTTTTATGACGTGGAGTACACTAGATTGAAAGTATTTAATTCTAACGAAACCACCAACTTGTGCTTGTTTAATACGCTAGGTGGGGGGGGGGGGGGGGGGGGGGGTAGTGAGATAAATTCAGTAAATACGTTGGTTTTATGCGTTTTTGTTGACTGTGTAAATTTTCACATGAATTGACTCCTGTTTTCGGTTAATGAAATATGCAGATAACACGGTGGGATGGTTGGCAGGGTTGCATTAGGACGTAATGATTCATATTCATGTTAAACGCATAGGAAATAATAGCGTGTCAACTAATAGGAAAAAAAGCTAATTAATTTTGAAATGGCTGATCAATCATTTCGATCAATCAATCAATCAACTGCGTAAATGAGGTCATTCAGGAGACACGAAACAAATGCTCCAATTGTGCACATTGGAACGTGAACCAGTGGGCTATATTGGAGAAGAAGAAAAAAAGTGCATAACCTGAATCCGGAGGTCACTATTCTTATTTTATAGTTCAAATCGCGGCTAAATGATGCTGTTCTCTGTTACTGTTGGCCCTCTTTCTTTCTTTCTGCGTAAAGACTGCATCACATTTTTTTTTCATTGAAATGTATTTAATTTCCGACGTATTGGTCGCTACTTTAACTCCTCTTTAAGTCGTTGCAATTAGTAAGAGGCTTAATCACCAACCCTGCGGTAATTACGCATCGATCTTGTCTTCAGTTTTCGCAAGTTGTGTTAGCAAATATTCCTCTACTTTGTACGTATTGCTGATTTAGCATGCCTTTCTTGTGTATTAATTGTTAAATGGGTAGTTTCACAGTTTTGAGATTCCTTTTATTTCAAACGTGGCTTTGATTTATAATAGTGTATTTTCAAAACATTTTTTTTTTCCATTTTAACATGTTATATTTTATTTGTAATTTTTTGCCTTAGTGATTGCATTTCATTCTGGTTATTTGGCAATGGGGGTGTGATGGTGGGTGGAGGTTTTACTCAATCCCTTTTCTTCTACTACTTATTATAAAAATTCGATGCTTAGTTGCACGTGTTCATCAAAGAACCTCTTGTTTCATCGAAAATTGTTGCCCCTTCTCTTGCAAGCGTACTTTGCGGTATTGGAGTTGAGTTCTTCGCTTTGCAATACAATTGAAAGAGATAATTGTAATTTAACCTCACTAATTGCAATCAATGGGGCTCGCTGATTGTGTCTATTTAGTTAACTTCCTTTTGACTGCAAACTGAATTGTTTTTAATAGTTCCCTGCTTTTGAAACTTCAACAACGATTGGGTGGGGCGGCGGGCGACTGGGAGAGAGAATACTCATGATTTGAAATTCACTACTACTACTTCAAATGGCAGGCATTTTGATAGTTATCATTACCCCTTTAGTTGACTTCGGGCTTCACAGAAGGGAGGTACATAAAAGTGAGAAATATCGACAGGGGGGAAAAGAAGAGCGATTCACAGATGTAAAAGAGACAGATAGGCACAAAGGCAGAGAAAAGGTTAGATGATCACCGTGGAAGGGGTCGAATATGACATACAGTGGGGTCATTGTAGTGCGAAGTCAGAGGTCAACTGCCGGTTAATAGACTTTTATTGCCGTATGAGTATACGTTGCCCAGGGTGCACCACGTGGAGGTAAGTCTATCGCACACCCCAATTTAAAATTCAAATTGTGCGTTAACGTTCGGCTCCACTCAGGCCTTCCTGGCATCGCTGCAAAATGTATAATTTAGAGAGTATCTCATGACAATTGTTCGCATCGATCTTAGCTTGAACTCTGTAATAAGAAATTCTGTTATGACCTCCAAAAAATAGCCACAAGTCTCCGAACTCAACAAAAGCGCGTATTACATTATAAGAGCACTTTTTGGGCGACTTGTTCCCATTTCGTAGTTTCCAGAATGGGAATAATCTCTCAAATTTTACTTTTAACTCCTTTTAAGCTTGACCTGATTCATATATCTAATCATGGGGCGAATATTCCTGTATTAGTTTGCCAATGTTATCGTGAGATGCTTCCCATTTCTTTGCTTTAACTACACCCCATAACGTCTAGTTGGTCATTTCAGTCCATTAGAGGAGAATTATTACGAATCTTAGGATAAAACGGCGTAAGAAAATGAAGGCTTAGAGGTGTTTCTTCTCCTGAAACAATTCGAGCAACTATCTTTACGAAAACGGTAAGTGCTCAAGTAGGACTTGAAAAGTGTAACCTACTTGAATAAAATTAAAGAGCACTCTGAAATATTTGCGGAAAGATATTGGAACTAGCTCATTAATAATCTGATTACAAAGATTGCACCATTTTATTAATTGTTGTAGAATAGCCTACTCTAGTTTAAATAGTAGCATCTATATTTTATTCTATCTTTTAACTCGTTTAGCATTGAATCCACTGCCACGACACCGACTGCAACCGAGGATTTTGATGAGCTATGCGCTCGTGCGGAGACCATACGTGATCGCGTCAAGGTTGCCACTTTGAGACCTACTTCGACGGACGTTTATGTTTCAAGTAAATGCTAAGTTTTTAAAACGCCTAGTGATATTAACCCACCTCGGAAGACGATAACTAAAATTCATGCATATTAAATAGTTGGTGTCGTTTTTAATGCCTTATGACAATTTACTTATGCTTTCATGGTGTTCACGTGTGAACTGAAATTCTTAAACGGGCCACTCAATTAACAGCTCTAATTGAATGGGATTTTGACTGCATGCATTTCTGCTCAATGGATATGGTAACTGGTTTATCAAATGCCTTAGACATTTTAAATGGTTAAGGTAAATGAAGTGCTGTTTTAATTAGTCGATGTGTCGCTGATAATTTGATTATTGGTAGCACCATCAACTCCATTCAATTCTGCCTATTAATAGCGAATCTATAGTTCCAATCAACGAAACCAGTTCGGCGCAGGTCGCATTTGTGAAAAATTCTGATGCGCAAGCTTTTCTTTTCGGAAAATATGCAGTCACATGCGAATAGAGTGCTTTTTAGGATAAGTCAAGTTGGTTAGACGAGCTTTTATTATTGTTGCTTGATGTCTATTCGCACATGCCATATTTGACTTCGCTAATATTCACGCCACTTCGACTAACTTTACTTTGGATTTTTAAGTAGCTTGCCAAGTTAACATTTCCTACTTGATGGCTTTGATTCCATCCCAGAGGTGTCTAATTATTGAAGTCCAATGACTTTTAGGTTAATGCAAGGGTTGCACTGTTCTTAAGGTGTTTGTTTAGAGCAGATTATTAAGAGAATGGACCTAGATTGTGATTAGCCGATGTTTTTGATGATTAGTAACCAAGATTATCTCTTTTGATACGTTCTCTCTTCCAAATCCGCTGATATTGTCCATTAGTTAAACAAAACCATAGACTTACATCGAAACGGTCTTCCTTATGCACGAATATCACGCTAGCTACATACTACATGTTTTACTGCGTTTTTCTAAGTTGACGGTCCTTTACCTATCTGAGCCGAGTCATTTTGCTAACGCTTTTGACCTTTAAAAATGTCCACTTAACTCTCTTCCTCTCTTATTATTGGTCTCTTAACTCAAAATGCGCCGTTGAGATGACCTTATCGTGCTCGGTCGCAACACCGCGAATATTCACTTCACTACCTGAATATTTCTCTTCTCATAACTCTGACCGGTCTGCTTTCATATCACTTCTATATTTTTGCTATTCAAAAGTTTGTGTATTTATTTAGTCGCCTATCATTTTTACTAAACAGGATTAATAATGTTTGCATTTTTTCAGGTTGTGAGGTGAATCCTGGTGAACCATCGACATCCAAAAGAGAACCTGAAATGGATGTGAGTATTCTTAAAAGCTTATTTTGTGCTTTCTTTTGCTTGTGCCATGTTCTAGATCTCTCATGGTCCTTTTGTTCCTTTCATATCTTTGCCTCCATTCAATGTAAAATGGGTGAATTTTACTTTATGTTGCATGCGTGCGCGCCCCTTAGTATCTCCTTTCCTCACGCTTTTCGAACCCTTTCACTGCGGTTCACAGAACCTCTAGCGAGGCTTCTTTGCACAACTGTCAACAATGCTATCCTCTACAATACTCCAAACAGCATGCTTCGTCCTTCTCCCAGTATTCCTCTCAGCACTTCCCCGTAGAATTTGACCGTCCTCAACGTCTAGTCTCCTCCAGCACACGTAATAGTCTCATTCTAGATGACGATATCCACTTGCCCATTGGCCATGTTGAGCGGCTGAAAAAAAAACTTAGTGCTTCCCTTATCTTTGGAACCTCATTGGATCAAATTCCTAGTCATTTGCGCGCCCTTCCAAAGCAATTCCCCGGAGCTAAGGAGCTTTTCAGATCACAGGAGGAGCTATCCATTCCTCCCACCCCCCCTCCTAGACATGTACCTCGAAGACCTCCCCCTCAGTCTTCAGTGAAAACTTCCACAACAAAGACGGATAATATCATCTCCTTGCAGAGGAATGTTGCTTCCCTAGCCGCGGCAGCGGCCCTACAACGAAACATTTCTATTCAAGCGAAAGAGTTGATCGTAGATGGGTGTGGTGGGATAAAGGAACAAATAATTACTTCTCCATTCCCTAAACTTCCCCCTCGAAAATCAGTTTCGGTCCAGACACAGACTGAAGTACCTTCTTCGCCTCTTCCCCCTCCACAATGGTGGATGAGTATGGATACTAGTAGTACACCTCCATGGCAACGGCAGAACTCATTATCAGCGACCTCTTCTGGTATTGGGGTCGATGATGGTGGGAGCAGCAACTTTCAGGATAATTTTTCCTCTGTCTCTAAGACGTGTTTTGCCTGCTGCAAGCATAATGCCACTGGAAGGCTACCTAATCATTGCGAATTTTCGAATTGTTGCCCGTCCACTTGTCATTCGTTAGATTTGCTTCAGGAGGTAGTCTGAATAGTCCTCTAGTTGTTTGTGTGTTAGAAAATAGCACTCACCTGGTATTTTCATGCCACTTAAATCTCGTTTTTGTCCCTCTTGTAGATAAGTCGTATGATAAGAGAAGAAGTTACATCAGTACTGAAGTCGGAAATGGGAGATATGATGGAACGTCAGATGGACTGTATTAACCAGGCACTGAAACCACTGAAAATGGATGGCCAAACACCCACGGGATCAAATCAACAGGACCACGGGTCGGCTGAAGGTTGCGTTGCTCATCAGGATAATTTGCCAACGACGGTAATGTCTTGTCAATCACTTAAGTGGACCTCTGTTTTAATGGAATTTGTTTAAGTAATTTCAGTCGACTTTGGTAATGTAATTAGGTGTAGTAGTCATTCTCTGATTTCGAAACTCACTTTCTCCTCTAGGCAAATCCTGTGGTTTCGGGACTGTGTTCATGCGGAACAATCTAAGTTTGTGGAAATAAAAATGATTATACATCTTTTACACAACAGGGATGGGACACTTGAAATAAGTGTCACGGAGCTCGGATAACCTTCCTTCAGTCGAAATTCTGAACTACTAGATCTGCTGTTTTTATTTCAAGTTGGAGTTTCCTCAGACTTACTTATTTCTTTATCATCTTTCATAGAGAAAGTCTGGTTGGCATACTTTCAAACGATGTCACAAACACTCCTGTCCTATAATTTTGATGGCGCTTATCTACTGAACAGAGAGGGGGTGGGGGGTCTTTGTGGCGATTGATTCGCAAGTGTCTTCTGTTCTCTTCTGTTATTTGCAAATAAGTTAGTCGATTAACAGGGTCTTACATTAGGAAAGAGTGGACTTATTTATCGTGGTGTTGGCTGTTTATTCCAATGGCTTTTCCACCTGTCTAAACGCGCAGTATTTTCTTTGATATTTGCCGCTTTATCTAGGACACATCCCTGCATCAACACTGATTTACAGTATATCGATCATTCATCAGACACCCATGGTATGTATTCCAGAAAGCTTCTACTTGGAGCAGTTGTGGCAGTATCTCTACCTTGTTAGAGCATTCAATTCACATTTCTATTTTTTTAACCAAATTTACTACTCAAGCGCGGGGTTTAAAATCTCAATGAGTTAAAATATACGTTACTCGGGCCAACATGTATTTGGAATCGCATGCTTTTACCTTGCTAGATGCATACCCAATTTAAAGAGGTTAAATTGGTGATTTTTTGCGTCGGACCGTTTCTAGTTTCGATGTCCAGGCTTCTCGATATGAAAATCTTCCGACACTTAAAGAGCCTCTTTTTGCAAATTGTGTGTGTTGTATCATTTATCCTCATGTATTTACACTGCGCTTCTAAATAATTTTGGGAAAGTCTAATAGTTGCGCAAGTCCTGTTACGCTCCTTATTTGTGCAAACACCTATGAAATTCCATGGTTCTTTGTTTCAAGTGTTTACCATTATTCTTCCTTGAAACCTTGTGGCTTGAAGTATTGGGCTAGACTGCCCCAAATAATTTCCATCAATACTGATAGCATTGCGGTCAACGTTCTATTTGAAGTCAGAGGTCATTGGGTAAATTTCTACCATTGTGCATCCGTGAGTAGGATGACCAATCACACTAGTTAAATTTGATCGGTAAATGGAGTGTCAGATTTCGAGTTTCTGATCACCTCAAATTCATGAGCGTTTGAAATCGCCTTTTATTACTCTTTTACTTTTTTTAAAATGACACTAGACTTGAACTAAATTGCTTAAACTAATTAAGTGTTTTCTCCACCTCCTCCCCCTGTCCTTCACACAATTAGCGCACCAGTGTGGAAGATTTTGAGCGCGTGGAAATACCTCCCGAAGAGTCCGAAGTGTTATATGATGGTCAACCAATGGTAGGCTCATACTGCTACCAACCAATCCGCTCATCTGTCACTTAATAATGTGCCATCTCTCTTTACATTGTAGCTATTGCCAGTTCCCCGTCGATTAGTTAGACACTTTGGTTGTTCACGCGATCAAGGAGTCTATCCAAGACTTCTACCATCTAGATTACTGGTAATTACTGACGCGATACTGTTTGCTCTAGCACTTTTTATCCGTGATGTTGGTATTGTATGATTGCTCTGTAAGAGTGGTGCATGCCGGATTTGTTTTAATGCTATGAGTTGTTTTTGAACAGTTATCTTATGGGAGTGTCATCCTGTAGTATCCCATCGGCTTTAGGAGCCTTTCCGCCAGTTTAGTTCATAGTACAGTTCATTGCATATTCATCAATAAGCTTTGAACAGCATACTCGTCTTTCATCTCAAAAATCAATAAATCAATGTTCATTGGTGCACTGACCAAACACACTGGTTAGGTCCACTGGGTATCTTCTCTCTACCAAGGATAAGAGCTTCAGTATATTCCTTCCTAGGATATCTGTATCGTTCTGCAAAAAGTCCATTGATTTTTTCTGAAATCTTCCTAACCATATCTAGTACGCATGAAGAAGTCTTCCTTTTTCTAGATACTAGAGTTAGTAGGATTTCCTGAAGTGGAGTATTCGAATGGAGATGGCAATTTATCATTAAGCAATAAACCGTTTTCATTAAGGCATGTTTTAAGATGCCGTTAAGAAGACACCCCTCCCCCTCCCCCTCTTTCCACAAGCACATACGTACATACATTCTTTGTTATTTGTGCTTCCTATTGTACGCAAACACATATTTGTTTGGTTTTTAATTTGCTTAATGGAAAATTTGCTTTTTGAGTTATTGATAGGTGTTGTTCATTAACCAACCACCAATTGGGCCTCGATTCACTTGTTCAATGCATTTTTCCTTCCTAGCCTCTAATTCCGAGACGCGATGAACCGCCTAAACAACAAAAACCGAGTTACCTTCCGGATGATGTAAGTCTCCTCACCTTCTTGTTGAATTGGAAGTACCTCCTTCCAGGTATTGTGTATATAAGGGGTGGATCTTTAGATTCAGATGTCAAACTTTATGCCTCATCCATTGCATTTTTCATTTTGTTATTGTCTATTATGTAAGATAGAAGTTTCGGTCATTTTGTTTGTGAGAAAGTCCGAAAATACGAGGAAGTATAAGAGCCCCCTAGTTCAAGGTCAATATTGACCTTGGGTGCCACAGTTACCAATTTAAACTGCTATCTAATAAGTGCTCTGGAACTGTTTTTGCCTAAAGTGGTAGCGCAGCCTAATAATTAAAATTGCACTACCTGAAGAAGTTTGGGAAGTATTCTGATAATGGGAACTTAGAGTCGATAGATACCTTCGTTTACGAAAACCGACTCATAGTGAGGCGTTCCCAAAATGCCTTTAGAATTTAAACCCCCAATCCTTCTTGTCACCTCTTAGGAATCTAACCGTCAACAATACGATTTTACTTTTCTGGTCTCTCCATAGAGGTAATTTGAAATTCTCTCGGCTCTTTGTCTAAATTGTTGTTTTAATGTGATTGGCAGTCAATAAATGTCCTATTCAATAATCTAAAGTTATATCTGCACAGGAGTCACTCCAATGGTTCGCTTATAACACATATTCAATATGGCTACTTCTCGCATTTAAATTCGTCAGTAGGTGGGACAGTTTTGTTTACGTTTTTTTAGTGTAATGGGCCTTGTTAATGCGTTTTAACAGTGTGTCTCCCTTCCATACATTTTGGGAGTGGGGTTGGGGGAGGGGGGGGGTGGATTGCCTCCCCTAGAGCGGACTAACGGGGGTTAATAGGGTAATAATGAGAGCGCATCACTTGACTCAAGGAATGCCGAATAGCCATTAACCCCCTCAAAGCTTGAACTTACGGCATAGTTCATGGCTTTGATGAACGCTTTAATGTTATATATGCCTGATCTATTTTGTATTCTATTCTTATTTCTGAGCCTCTCTTCGCTTCTAACTCATTTTTTCCTTTTTGTGTCCATTGGAGATAGTAAAATTATTGATATTCGCCATCTTCTGTGTCTTGCACATTAATGGTGATTATCAATCACCAATGACTACTTGGAAACATTAGAAGTTCTAAATGTTAAGATCAAGGATGTAACCAAAATTCCACATATTCTGCCTCTTTCAAACTTCTAATTTGAATATTATCGAGTGCATTTTATAATTAGTGTATTCAATGGCTAATGTGTCCATTAGCTAGATCAGCAAATGTATTCGTGTTCTTTGTAAGGAAGATGGTCTCTCTTCGCCCGTTTCTAACTTTTGTATAGGTTTTTTTAAGACTTAATGTCCCTTCACATTGACCTGTTTATGTAAATCGTGCCTTCTACAATACTCCCACCCCTCCCATTTGAACTTTAGGCAGCTGTTCTAAATAAGCTTGAGAGTTATGTCCCTCTGGGTTTTATTACTTAATTATCATATTTTTTTTGCACATTTTAGGAGCGTCCTCTGTGCCCAAAATGCCAGGTGTGGTTCCCGGATAGACATGCTCTAGAGATTCACCTGGACGCCTGTCTGTCGTAGTTTCCGACCCTACATTTACCTTATACCCGATCCATTTTCATATACATCTCTTTATTCATGTAACTGCTTAATGTTGTGTGAACGATTATTCACTCTCTATTGCCATCCAAGACATTCTCCTATTTTGTTGCATTCTCCATATAGACCCTCTTCATACATACATACATAAATACATACATGCGTACGTGCGAACTTAAGTACACAGACAAGCAGTACGCATCTTCCGTGTTCGAGCTTATTTATTAACTACTTGCACTTAATATTTAACCGGTTTACTTGTCATTTAATTGATCAATTAAACTTGAAATGAAATCATTGGTCCTTGATTATTGAAGGAAGTTATTATTTTTTTCAATAAAGGGCACATTTTAATTGTAATGTGCTTGCGCATTCTCCCGATTCATGTAGCGTGTGCTTGCTGACTGCCCTAATTTGCAGAAGCTAATCAAGGAACAAGGAATGTAAAATCCGTCAATCGACTTGATTGGACCTCATTTTGTCCGATTCTCACAATCTGGGTGGTCCTTACTCAGCACATATGACTCCTCTCCTACCAACTCATCTTCCTAATCCCTATACTTCTCTTCGCTCACATTTTCGAATTTTCAAACCACTTTCGCCCATTCTAACTCCCCTTATTCCCACTATGTCTCTTGTTGTCTTTTAACTTTAGAAAGATCGTTACATCTATGAGGGATTTCTTAGTGCAGCTTTACTTGGAATCATGATTGCTTTAAATTCAAATTGACAAGAGAGCCTTGATGAAACGTCATTGTGAATTCCATAGCCGGAAGCCTTGAATTTCGAATGTTGGACACTGATAAAGCGATAATTCTTAGAGTTCGTAGCTGATTATATGCTAAGGAGGAGGCGCGTTGTAAATTGGTCTTTATTAAGGCATATTAAATAGATAAAACCATTAAAATTGATAGACGCAATTTCCACGAAATATTTTTCAAGATATGAACAGTGAACATGAAACATAGTGGTCGAAAGCGACCTTCCTGTAAGGAATTGGACGCTGATTGTGTTCCGTTTTAATCAATGATTGATTTCCTTCCAACGTTTTGTGCATTTCCGTCTAAATCAGGTTGCTGGTTAATCAATACAGTCGGGCTTGCATTGATGAGAAAGAAGATCGATAGGGAAGCCATTCAACAGAAATAACGCGTGATAACTAAGGCGATATAAGTTGAGCAAACAAATCCAAACAAAATTGGGACCCTTTTTATCCTTCAAATCGAACTGTTTTATAACAAAAAGGAATGCTAAAGTAGAATATTTATTTATATCAAATGGCAGTCGTCTTGATGGTTATCATTAGCCCTTTAGTTGACTTCAGGCTTCACCGAAGGGAAGGAACATCAAAGTGAAAAAAGTCGATAGGGGGGGGGGGACAGAAGAGTGTCTCAAAGACGAAGGTAGAAAAAGGTGAGGTGAATACTGTGAAAGTAGTGGAATATGACATACCGTGGGGCCATGGCGGTTTGAAGTGAGAAGTCAACTGCCGTGTGCACCACGTGAACGTAGATCTATCGCACACCTCACTTCAGATTATAATATACCCATTTAAAAAAGTATTGTTCAACCCGAATTCAGACATCAGGAGGACCAAGACTTTATGACACCATGAAATTACTATCAGAAACTTTTTTATCCTTTATCAAAGTTATTAGACCGCCAATTTATTTCAGTGATTTCCACAAATAAAGCTTAAATATTTTTCTATTACCATACTTTTTCGGTAACTCCTTTTACGAGTTGAGTGGAAAAATTTGGTCAGGACTGAGGTGAAAGACAGATTTCACAAATTTTGCTCAGTAGATAGATTTGCATGGCCTTTGACGCTTTCATATACTAGAGACAATTCAGTGTCAGAGAGTTCGCCTATGTTATAAATAGACGCTTTCTTGACATTTTGAATATCATGTGTGAAGTCAAAATTAACGAATTTTTCAAATACGGGTAAATAAGGGATTAGGACGGTCATAGATGCAGACATTTGTGAGATACTATTCCATTCGAGAGCTTAATGGAATCAGGAGCATCCGTTTTCTTTTCATCTTGGAAGTCCTTTCGGAACTGGTGAATGTGATCCACATTGGCAATCCCTGGAGGTATGCTATTTTATATCGATCCTTTAAACTTGAACTTGGGGATTTGTGTTTAGGAGCCTGGTCTGAGTCTGTCTCAAGTTCAGCCGAGCTGGGTGATACTTTAGGTAAAAGTGTCAAGATGTTTTCACCCTGTAGTCGGTTACTGTCTGTGATCAACGTTTAAAGCGAACTTAATTAAGGCAATGAAAATACAGGTTTTTAAGTATATCAAGTGGCATGATATATAATAGTTACCATTAGCCCTTTAGTTGACTACGGAGGAACATCAAAGAAATAAACAGTCGAGAGGGGGAACAGTAAAGTGATTCTCAAATGCAAAATAGACAGACGGACACAAAGGTAGAGAAAAAGATAAGGTGAGATTGGTACTGGCGAAGTGGTCGAATGTGACACACAATGGGGTCATTGTAGATTGATGTGAGAAGGCAACTGCGGGTTTATAGACATTTGGGTTCATGAGTCTACGTTGTCCAGGATGCATCACGCGAAGGTAAGTCTATCGCTCAATTATATCATCGGAGCTCATCTGAAGCGCATTGCAATTTTAACCAAACGGTTTTTGAATAAAACCAATGCCCAGTGTGATTGAGACTGTAGATTGACCACGAACGGAAAAAACATGTTTCAACAGTATGATTCGGCTAAATTGTGATCCAAATTTTTCTCGTCCTGATATGCTGGTTATGGAAAAGGGGAGATGAAGCAATTTTACACCAAATCGATCCTTTTTCCAACCATTCTTCCCCAAATCAGCACTGTTCAACCTATCCATTACTCGGAATACTTTCGAATCCACTAAACCAAGTGTTATTGACAACCATCTTAAAAGCAATTAATCAGTGCGTTGATTGAAGTAAACAACTGTGAATGCTAGGCAATTTCTTTATTTTCCATTCCTGGTCGTAAAAAATGTTTCAGCTCACATGTTTCCTTTTATTTCATATGCAGCTGAAGGGGCAAATGAGCAGGATTTTAAAGAGCTTTGTGGTTGAATCACATTTAATGGCCTTCTTTGTATTTTCATTATAAAATGCTAATCTTTAGCCTCTGCTACCTTTCCCTCTTAATAAAGACACCCTAGAAAGCTTGGCTTTAATTCAGTAAATGTCCTTTATATTAGCTTGGGAGGTAGTGAGGTTCAACGGTTTGGATACGAGTGGAAGCGTGGTTGAGTTTTTTTTACGCCAAAGCTTCCAGTTCGTTCCTGTTCTGTCAAGCTGTGCGCATAGAGGCAAGTGCTTTTTATTTGGTATATGACGGGAATACTAGCACAACCTACTTTCGCTTTATCAGTAGCAGTGTGCGTTGTGGCCTACAGTGCGACTCACTACTGTTGACCACAGACGAAATCACCATGATTCTTAATTCTTTATTTCATTTAATAGGTAAATGATTTACGAACTCCAAAGTAAGAAATGCAATAGTAGGTTCAAGAGCTTGGTTATTTATGTCTCAATACTGTTGTTCGAAGATCATTGAATTATAAATTGCAAAATACATTTTCAATCCGACTATCGCATTCAAAACGTTTTATTGAGGAAAATTTATCTAACATAACTTATTGCACTCTCGTAATAGTCAGCGATACTTTGCAGGTAGCGTAATCGAATAATTTAGAATTACCTAGATCTAATCCATACACTCGAATCTTTGATTTATTCTCACTTGCATAGTTCATCAATTTTTCGATCGATTGTTCGGTCACTCCAATCAACTCAAAGAGAGACCCTGGGACTTCAATCAATCCATCCAATAGACATAGCTGAGGGTACTGAAATTAGCGTAGACTTCAAACTAATTAAATTGATATCTCACTCCTAGGTCAACCTTTACTGAGTTTCTAATTGCGCTATAACAAAAAAAATCACGATGCTCTGTGACATCGGCGATCACTCCATATTTTAATTTTTTCAACTATTCGATTTAACACCTGTCATCAATAAGACTGTCTTTTTCCATCCCACTGAATAATAAATCTGGAGGATGTTATAGGTTAGCAGAACAGATTATCACCCCTGCATATACAATGACTAACCAGTATATCGTTAGTAGTGCATTCTTACTATTGAACAACCCAAGTAGTTATGGAGTATGATATCCTCTATTGTCATTTTACACCTCTATCCATATAGCATCAAACAATATGGAGTAAACAGCCTATAATATTAGTATTTCTGTTCTGGCAATAAAGTGGTTTTGAACATTCTTCTCTTACAAATCGGATAAAACACTCTTTTTCAAAATCCAAAGGTCAGATGTCTGCTTGTATCTCGAGTATATTCGCAAACGTAGTAAAAATAGGGAGGAGAGATGGAAGGGGAAATTAGTGTATTTGAGAAGGGCTAGCAATGGGTAAACGCGGCATAATTTAGGGATTGGAATTCGACTTGTCAAAAAAAGAACCTAAGGAAGCATGAAAAGAGGTTCAGTAGATCCTTGATAAGTAACCGATTAAAAGCATCACAAATTAAGGCGTGCAAAGGCGTGAGAATTTAGAGGCCGATGGCTGAAGTCCTTTCCTCCCATCTGCAGTCAAAGCTTTTCAACTCAGTTGCGTCAGCTGCACGGGACGCAACACATTTTGCATTTGATATGGATTGGGTTAGTAATGGGATTTACTTCCGAAATCATTTAAACTTTTCTAATGATGAAAGAGAAGTGGCATTGTTTAACTCATTGAACAAGTTTGCAAAATGACGATCAATAATAATTTATTTACTTTGTGAGTTTTCTTGTTGGTTCGAGGCAACGTCTGACAAAGGAATATGTTA